GCTACCACCCAGTAGCTTGTTTATGTGACGCGCCGCTACCTTTGTGTCGTTGCTGCTAGGGGAGGCCATAACTGGAATATGGTTAGGGTTTGAACGAATAGCCAGACAGAGCTAAATGACTCCTTGTATCTGCCTCCTATTTGTTCGAAGCCACTTCGGTAACCATTTCCGTCAGCGATATCGCCGTCAAAATCTCGTCGTTTGACGTTGTACATTCGTCGTTGTACACCCGATTGATTTACGGTGTGTGTTAGACGACATCTACAACGAAGCTCGATACCGTGAACGGCCATGAAAACTCTGGAGGTTTAATGTTTACATGATACATAAAATCTCAACCGCGCTACATATGCAAGTATTTAACCATTTCGACGGCACAGTCTGATCCCGTTCCGTATCAAACTATGCCAATACGCCGATATGTCAAACGGTCCTGTCTACCGGTTGGCGTTATACTTTACTAGGCGAACGTAGGCACAATCAATAGTATTCGATGAGGTGCCCGTCATGGACTGTTCTTGCATGGGCTTAGTAGATACCTTGGACCACCAAGGTATCATTCCCAGAGCACGACTGAGATCCCCGATGCGCACTCCTTCGTCCATGTCCTTCAACACCTTGGGCGTGTTCACCTGAAACGTGCTTCATCTGGGTTTAGCGGAGGATATGCAGGCACCACACCACACACCGTCCTTTGTAATGGCATTAACGGAACAACGTATACGTCTTACAATGGATGATGTGCCACATCCCGTGCATATGTCTCTTGAGTGAGGTGCCGAAATCCTGGACCCATCGGACCGATGTCTCTCCTCCTGCACACCAGATAAACGTCCCACACCTTTCATGGCCATCTGAAACACACCCAGTCGGCACGCCAACGATCCTCACCTCATATCCCATCGCCCGTGCCTCGGCCATTAGAACGTCTCTGTAGTCAAATGTCGGCAACTCCAGCAGTATGACATCCTCGAGGCGTGTTGCGCTGTGATTTACGAGTCTGTAATCCGCTATTGACGTCATAAACCGGCGACCTTTGGCACGTGTAATGCTCGACTCCGACTCGTCCGGATACGTGGCGTATATGAGCCTCAGGTACATGAACGGTGTGGGTGCGTCGGGTGTTATTGCAAGAGACGCACGGGCTTCTGAAATCGCGCGCGCCCTGTGCTGTCTAGGACTGCGCCTTCCACTACCCAGGAATGGGTCCAGAGACCTAAGAATCGTGGCCGCGCTAAGGGTCTGACCTCGTTGCGACATTATGGCACCCTGCACCTGCATTATGGCGTAGGCTATAGTGGGCTTAGACCGTATAAAATAACCCCGTGTGTTGCGCCGACGAGGCTCCAGCACGTCGCGCGCTTTACTACACGTCGCGCTCATCATGCCACTGCCAACTGAAATCTGTACCATTAGTCGGACGTTAGGGTTTTGTAAGTGTCCGTCTTACGGAAATCGAGGTACGTGCTGGTGGGACGATTGGAAGCGGTGTGGAATGGTTTGTGGATTGTTGGCACGCTTTCATGGTCAACAGGGTATACCGAGTACAAAGTGCAAAATTACTTCGCGCGTTCTTCAGTATGTGCCATATCGGGGAGGTGAACATTGTACTCGCTCTCGGATTGAGCGTGGAATGTGTAATATCCCCAACGTGAACAATCTCGTTACGTACACGATGACTGACAATGTGCGTATTATTCGACAAATACAACGTTTATTGTGATCAACAAGGCTCGTCAGTTACTACATCCCATACTCAATATCCCCATGCACGCTAGACATGGATGCCGTTGGGGAGTTGAAGCATATCTCCTCGCTGGCCGTGGAAGACAGGGACGAGGAAGGCGCGTATGAATGCCTCCTAACCTTCTTCTCTGGTGTGCGCAGCAGACGGTCAACGAGGTCCGGGTTCCCCAAGCGCTTAAGCGTGACGACAGCACTCGGAGCTACTCCAGTCGCGCTAGCAAGCCTTGTGTACGCATCAGATGCCATACGCATGAACCGGCGGCGAGTCCTGTCGTCCCATTTGACGCGGCCGACACAGCTTGAATCATCAATCCGACGGTTGACCGGCTCTGGAAAACGTTCGGCCGTATCCTCGTCCATGGTGTCATCCCAAGTTGCATAGTCCAATGCATCCATCACGCAGTCGGGGATGTCCAACTGGTCCAGCCTCCTCTGCAGGCCCGTGAGGCTAACGACGAGCTGCTCCACAACCTCTACATGCATGTCGCGGTTGATCGCCTGAAGCCGAGGCAGCCACTCGTCCGGGACGCACCCAGTGCGCCAAAACGCGAGCTGAATGTGAGATGTCGCCACCCCCCACAGTGCCTGGAATGTCCACTGCAACGTGTTCGTGGCTGATGGAAAGTTGCTGGTCCACACCCAAGCTGGAGGCACGCGCCTCATGAAGCGAGTCTGGTGGTCCACCCACATTGTGCGGAATTCGGACTTGAAGAATGTGACAATGCCCTGCACGACCGGGTTCCCCACGTCTGGCACAACATCATGAAGCTGCACAATGCGAGTATGGGTTAGGTGTTGCACCATGAAGGGCCCACTCGGCTCTCGCTTGCCCTCTCCCCAAGTGAGATTGTGCCTCCGCGAGGACACAAGGACGACGATGTCACGGTCCTCTGCAAATTTCGCAGCGTTGAGGCCTAGCATGAACTGCGTGAAAAGCTGCACGTAACAACAAAGAGCATCACAGGGACATACTTTTAGCACCACCGTATTGAGTCCATACATAGGAGACAATCGCACCAGTCATCTCTAGTACAAATGGCCATTACCTGGGGGGTTATGCGGCCGGACCGAGTACGGCGTACATATGCCCACTGATCGCCGCTGACATCGTGGCCCAGCCTCAGTGGCTCCCGGTCGGCGCTCACAACAACGGGCCTGAAGCGATGCGCGCCGTCTGCGGAATAGAGAAGGCCGATAGACAGCCTCTTCATATCATTCCCATTGCGACCGACGAACGGATGCAGGTATGGCTGCAGAGCAGGTAGGAGAGAAACCTCTACAAATATGTACACGTCGCTGGGAGGTGCGCCAAGGCGAGACAAGAGATCCTTTAGAGCGGCCATGGAAGCATGGTGGCGTATGCGACAAATGAGGGCATATGATATAACCAGTAGGATTGGCGAGTACAGCGTCCAATGTACCTGCTATTTGACAATGAGTGAGTCTAGCGTGAGAAAAAAGTCGGGCGAAAGCTGGCCACTCCCTCTTTGCCCTGACAGGCGTGCATTGGCCACAGAAGCTACTGATTGCGCACTGACGTGGGTACACCTCATAGGCTACCACGGTTGTGCACTCTTTAAACCACATGTTTGTGTTTTGAAAGCTAATCTGTTAGTGACATATCCGTACCCCGTACAGTACATGCCCGGGTCAGTTAGTGTTCCGAGATAGTGTGCGCATGAATGCGTACGTCCGTACATTGTTACACTGCATGGTATAGTTATACTGTTTATGAACTATCTCGCCGCATCGCCCTGAACATCAATATACATCATATAATTTGGATGCTGCACTGGTCGTCGATTCGTTCAGTGTTCGACAATAAATCAATGGTTTAACTGAAACGAAGCCGAAATATACCCATCCGCGTCAAGGTGGGAGGCCGAAATGTTACGTCGATGTTAATCGCATTTGGTTTTGTTCATAACGGGACATTAGTCGTCCCGATAATGGGTGCACAATTGACTTTATAAAGGTTTCGACTAGTATCGCCGGTGCATGCTGACGAGGGTACAGTAATCTCGACTCACATGCACTGTCACAAGTGTCAAATAGGGCTGGAAACCGCTGCCAATCACGAAGCGCCATGGTGGTATCCACTTTCTTCAATCTCATCGGTCCCTGAGTCTCCGTCGTCCGAGCAAATCATATGTTTATCCCCGAAGATGCGTGGTGGAGTGTATAAACGCAACAATCGCACTACAAGCCCGACAGTTTAGTTCTTGCAACGCTAGGGTTTCGGCGTTCCTCATGAACTCGCCATGGTTCCGCGAACCAAAGCCCAGGCCTCTAAACGAGGCCTCCATAGTCCACAAGCCATGACATCGCGTAGGCCACCGGCAGGGGCGCGGCGGGAGAACACCACGATCCCAGAATCGATGAGCAAAAAGCGGCTGCGTTCGCGTGAACTCCAGCAGGGGGATACGAATACCGAGGCCGCAGTGGCCGCGTCGGTTTCGGCTTGGGGCTCGCGGCTGCCATGCGTCAAAGATGAGCCCGCGCCGAATGACGCGCTGACTGCTCTACTGAACGCACCATCTTCAACGACCTTTAAGACGGTGTCGCTGTATAACCACATGGGTGTGGGCTGTCAAGTGACTGCGCATGACGCATTGACGCTCGCCGACAAGGAATATCTGGGGGACGCGGTCGTCGATTTTCATAACATGTACGTTTTTTGGATGGCGATACTTCTGTAGGTTGCTGTGTCGCCACTAAGGGTATGCCGACTTTAACGTATAAAAATTTATCGTGCGTTATCCATTCGCACCCGTGCAGCCTCCTGAACATCAGGTACCCAAGGTGTCCGAACGGGAAATCATGGGTGGTCTTTGACAGCAAGGCGTATGCGTATGCCAAGCTTCACAAAAAGCCGATTGGGAGGTGCACGGGCCCGTCTGTGTTCGAGTACGATTACATCGCGGTCCCGGTATATGCCGGGTAAGTACGTCTTTTGCAAGCCGCTGTTTTAAGCTCGTCTGTCGCCCCAACCTAACAAAGGCACCTCAAATGTGCAGGAAACACTACTCTTTGATGGTGGTAACCAACCCGAGCGGGATTGTTAGCCAGACGGCCGCACCTGTGGAGTTAATTCTGTTCGACAGTGACGGCCTCCACGCCAAGACTACTGATGCCTTTGACGGGACTAAAGCGTGAGACTCGCTATATATCACCGTGCAACCCCCTTTCAGCGGTGACGTCGTCCGACCTCATCTGACCTGTTGGCTATATCGTCGTGCAGGTTATTGCACCTCATGTGCAAACGCGATCATCCGGAGGTGGACCAGGAGGCGTCTAGGCAAGCGCTCATCAAGGCAGAAACGATTATCATGGAGGTGAGATGCTGCAAAGACATTAGGGCTCCTCTATCCCACTTGCTTTCTAATACGGGAGCGCGTTCTGATGAACGGAAACATGGTGTCTCGATGGTGCGCAGGGTCACCAGATCCCGAAACAACCAAACAGCTGGGACTGCGGAGTGTACATTTGCCAGTATCTCGAAGCACTGGTGACATCTGGGTTCATAACCGTGCGAGAGTACATATCTTTCAAGGGGGTGAGCGCGGAGAGGTACCGCCACAAGATGCGTGGGGATCTTTGTTCACATGCCGAGGGAACGCTGATTCCCGAGCTGCAGCGCCAGGGTCTCCGCATACCTCTGCAGCCTGTTCCCGTTATCGACGACAATGGATACATCTGCGTCGACCCTCCCGTGGACATCCGAAGAGAGCTGCTAGTCCACAAGGAGAAGTTCGCTGTGATTGAGCACGACATACAAGTTCTGACGGCCAAGATCGAGTATCTGGCCATCCGCAAAGGCGTGACGTCGGACGAGCTGGACGCAGGGGCGCGCCAACACCTTGGTGCCGTGGTCGACACGCTGGTAGAGTCGGCGACTCCACGCAAGCACGCTAAAGCAGACCCTACCGCGGACAGCAGTGGCCCAATGGAAGTCGCGCAGACTCCACAGAAGCGTGCACTGGCGGCAGTCCCATCAATCTCTCCCTGTCATGCACCTCACACACCTGCCGTGAAAGATAGCCAAGTTACTGCCGGAGACGCGACACCTGCTGTGGTCAGGCAACAACAGCGCGACCAGCTTGCAGTGGCTTTGCGCAGTCGCGCTAAGACTCCCATGCCCGCAGCTCCAGGTAACCCCGGGCGGGTCGCAAGCAGCGGCCGGGTGGGAGTTATGTGGAACGCAGAGAAGCAGAGGTACTACGTCCGGATCATATCTGCTCGCCGTCAGCAGGTTCGTCTGGGGTCGTACGAGGACAAGGACGAGGCGTCATACGCGTATGCTGCGGGAGCCGTTGTACTTCGCCCGAACTCACGCATCAGCTGCACGGTTGAGCTGTCCGACTGTGACAGGCAGGCTTTAGCCGGTTGCACAGAGGAGATCCTAAGGCTACTCGTGAAGTACAGGCGCTGGAACAGATGGAGGGAGTGGCGGACAGCAATGGCTGGCCTGGACGACGCGCGGGCGGTCGAGACCCGTTCGCGGCGAAAGGGCAGAGCGTCCCGGGCCAGTAGTGACGTTGAGGAGGTGCAGGCGATCACGCCGACGACACAGGACCAGCCTATGGCTGAAGAGCCAGAGGACGGAACAGAGTGTTACACGGATGACGACGAGTCCGTGGACGATGATGCTGAGTATGAACCGGGATCCGATACTTTCGGCGAAGATGATGGATGGGAGGATGTGAACTGTGCAGATGGTGTTGCATGAAGCACTAAACAGGGTGGGCATTGGACCCGGGGTTGTACTAGTTGTTTGCTCAAACTGATAGGACTTAGACCTTGTGGCGGGTAGCCGAATCTGGAAATGTAAGCATCGCAGCGACCACGTTTTTGAAGTGTCTATATCCAGGAGATGTAAATATATGACAAAGAACGCTTAACCCATGCTCATCTTGAAACTGTAACAACGGTTGGGGGTAGTAGCAAATGCGGGTGTATAATTGGAGTATCGCATCTGACATAAACGTGGACGAGCATCGACGATGTGACAAACCTGGCACGGCGACATGTGACATGTGGAAAGTGTGGCTGACAATTGTCTGTAATCAAACTGGCCACTCTAACCGTGACATGTGTAGAATTGTGCGCGTGGCAAACTCCGTTATCGAGCATTGCGATGTACAAGAGAGTGGTAAGGGGACTGTTGCGAGCGAGGGTAGAACCCCGGGGTGGTTTAGAGCTACGTCATTTCCAACCCGCTGTGTATGCGGTCTGAGATGCTGTCTCCGCTAGAGGTCGATATGACTCCCACCGACGGCGGTCGTTCCAAGCGGCCGAAGACTGCGCCGTCATGGTTAGCTGATTCATATGAATACGGGGAGCGGAAGAAGAAAGGACGACCCCTAGCGGAAACCAAGAGGCGTAAAACAAGCACAGGAAAATGTGGCGCGGCGGATAAGAACGCGGGGCATGACGAAGGTAACATTTGTGACGTGACAAGTGCGTTGCATTTCATGTATCAGTGCTAATGCTTGTCTGTGGTGATATATGCCGTATGCACACGCAATCTACACACCCTTCTACCTACCACGCAACTGGTCACAGAGACTCGAGAAGTGCCGCTGCAGATAGGCAGCGCCAACGCTGTCGGGGTCGTCGACGCGGAGGCAGCATGCACGCCCATTGTCGCCAACGCACCGCAAGGGGAGGAGGACACGGAGGCCGTGAAGGAACGCCTGATAGACGAGTTAATGGAAGGCGAAGATGAGGACGACGAGGATGGAAACGCTGGTGGTCAATCGTCAAGCAACGATCCGTGTGGCGAGAACGGATCAGAGGAGGAGCAGGCCACAAAAGCGCCACAATCGAGGAAGCGGATAGATGCAGCCGATGGCCAAGTCACACGCGTGGAATTTGATGCGTTGCGCGATTCCCAGAATGATACCGCGAAGACACTGGCTCGTCTTGAGTCACACGTACTGACCATCATCCGCCTTGGCGAACAGCGTAAGCGCAAGCGGGCGTCCACAACTGCCGCAGCGTCGCTTGGCCGAGAAGCTTTGAAGCGGAAACGCCAGTCAGATGATGACGAAGAATCAACGTGCGATGAGGACGAATTGGCGGCGAAGGTGGCACGGCACGCGCGTCACGACAAGTCGCCAGTGCTCCAAACCGCCCTTGACATCCTTCCAGCGGAGAAGGCTTGGAAGGTGAGGCCTCGCATAGAGTGTTCTGCTCACGTCGAGGCACAGTTGTTGGATACACTACATATCTCGTCACCGTTTCCCCCCCCCCCGTACAACTACTTTCAATGTCGCAGGGTGTTTGCGACATGGTTAAGGATTATCTGTTTGTAGAAGCCCCGAACGAGAAGATGGATTTCTACCCGAGTCGCAACGCCAAAAACGCGGGCCTATGCCATGTCGTGTCCACCATTTCTCCCAAAACTGCGACTCTGGCGTTAGACGCTGATAAGGCTCGACGGCAGGATCTGAACAAGACCTTGTCCGAGTACAAAACAGGGTTGGCTGGACGCGCTCGCGGAGTTTTTCTTCCACGGATTGGTCTTTTCCGTGACGACGAGGACAGGGCCAGTCCTTGGGCACGTAAGACAGAGCGCACTGGGGAGCGTGCCCGAAAGAGATATTGCGTCCCCGTCCCAGACGATGGTGCGTGTTCGCTTGTCATATGGCCGCAGCGATTATGGCCGCAACTCCTGTTTCGTGCCATAGTGGACCAGACATGTCTTTGAACCCTCCCCTTTTCCTGTACGCGGTATCGTTGTACCCCTTTTGCATTCCATGTGCGCAGGGGACCCGACCTTGTGCAAGTGGCACATCAGCAAGGATGGACTGCCATTTGCATCCGGAGCGTTCGCGGCATGTGCCATCGCGGCTTTCGGAGGGAAGCGGAAGGACAAAGAAACAACTATAAAGCTGTACCACCTGTCGTGGCTCGAGCACATTGTACGTATACACCGATGTGAACATATGGTGTAGCCATTTTTTTTCAACTCGCCGTTGTAAATGGGCTTCTCCTGCGGTCGCAGATCACGGACGCCATTGTCAACTGGGAGAAGCGCAAGGGGAAACTGCACAACTCTCCGTGCGAGAATGGCGCTTCTGTGCGGAGGATTCAGAAGCTGGCATTCGATGCCATTGCGGATGCAGTATGCCGAAATGAAGTGCCCTACGACGAGGAGAAGAAGTCGTGGAAGTGGGGCAGGCATGGGCTCCGCCTTTCATCTTGCGGCCTGGAATGCCTCCTGGAAGATGAAGCAGCCTACGAAGACGAAAATCATGATTCCTCCGCGTCGGAGGCATCGGATAGTGAAACAGATGGTTGACATCCTGATTGTGTGTTTATTCCAATTGTGTGTCGTAGACTAGTGTAGTGGTTTAGTGGGAGAGGTTGTGGTTGTTGTTGGTTCTATGCATTTGTGCAGTAAATCGGTCACACATACGTTCGATATTGCACACCTAGCGGAGACCTTGCGCATGTTGGACACGAGGACGGTTGAAACGAAACTCGCAGCATTCCGCGCAGTACGGCGACAAATGCGCCGCAAATCGCGGCGACAAATGCGGCGCTAATCGCGGCGACAAATGCGGCGCTAATCGCGGCGACAAATGCGGCGGGGTAAAATGGAGCCGTTAGATGTGAAGCTATTCTAGAGACGTGGATATAGGGCAACCGTACAATCTGCCGAACCGCTCATCAAAGAACCGCGGCTTCTTTGTTTGCCCGACGACTGTGTGTAATGGCTATTTGCCACGTGTGTGATGGATATGGTCACACGTGTGTTATCGTGGGATCTGCGACAATTGCGTGTCAGCGTGCGATTGGTATCAGTAGTCCTAGTTGGAAGACCCTATCACCGATCGTACGGCGTGTGATGGTACAAGTGGATTCCTCTACAAATCGTGGGATGACATTTGTATCGGACGGACGGTAGATATGAGGCGTATGGGCGTGAGATCTGGAGGTTGACGGCGTATCCGGTGCGGCCATGTGCCGTGCTGCGGTTGGCATGGCGGAGTTGGCAAGCGACAATCGCGTGCGTACAACTGTGGCCATCTCGACCGTACATGCGGCACGATACAATTCGTTATGGTTTGGCATCCACCTGTCATAAAGCGTGAGTACACGTGCAAATATTATGCTGACGTGGAATAGTGACTTCATGTATGCTAATCGGCAGCTATGTGGCAACACACAGGTGTAACCGTAGAGTGTCCGCATGGTGACGCAAATGTCACTGGCAGCTACATGACGTAGTAGCGACCCATATGACGCCGTGCGGGTAGCGGCCATGTTGCCGGAAACGTTGCCTAAAAGCTGCGGGAAAGTTGCGGGGAAACCACTTTCCCTGTAACCCTGACCCAGAAGCCTTTGACCTAGACTTTTTTTTTGCGAAACAAGAGTTGCGAAAAAGCAACTTTGAAGCTGCGGAGAAGCAACTTTGTGTGCTTGGTTTTTTCGCGATGTGGCGGTGAATGATTGCCCGTCGAAGCCGCACCCGCAAGGCCAGAGCTGCGTGCTGCCTTGGTTGGGTCGATTCTCCTTCGAGCCGCTCAATATCAACCCTCTCTTCGGACCAACCGCCTTAACGTAAGCGACCTGTGACTTACCACCCTACCCTTCCTCCTCCCTCCCTTCCACTCTCCTCCCTCAAACCCCCCCCGCCCCCCCCCCTCTCCCCCTCTCCTCCTCCCCCGCCAAGTATTTCACTCAACGTCTATTCGGTGTTTCGAAGCTGACAATTTCGCCTATCTTATCATCCATATTCGTGCGTATGTACGAACCCCCCCATTCTTCGCAACCTTCCAGGCTTCAGGAGATGGGCGCGCTGAACAGTAATCTGGTTACCAACTACCACCAGGGCTGGCGGCTGGTAACGGCGATGTGGTTACACGGCGGCGTGGTGCATCTCGTGTGTAACCTCCTCGGCATCGCCTTCCTTCTCAACCGCCTCGAGAAGGAGTTCGGCCTGTGTACGTGCGTGGCGCGGTGCAATGACGCTGTGTGGTGTGGTGTGGTGTGCGGCGGGATCGGTGGGGCCCGAGGGAATGTGGGAAAAGCGGATGGAATGATGATGTGTGGTTTAGGAAGGGGGGAGGGGGGAGGTGGGATCAACGGGTGAGGAGGGAAATGAAGAGAAAATGTTTCTGAAGAATCTGTTGTGGACGTAGGCGTGTGGTCGGGAGGAGGGATAGACTCAGGCCACCGCCACCACCACCACCACCACCACATGTGATTCTTAATTCAGCATGCTGCCCCCTCTGTGCCCCTTTGCATGTGCGCCGCGCTCCCTCTGCTAGTCCCTCCGTGCTCTGCTCTCTCCTGTGCTTTTCCCCTGGCAGGGCGTCCCACGGCCATCTACCTTCTCAGTGGCGTCTTTGCTGCCGTCTTCTCCTGCCTCTTCCTCAACACACAGGTACGCCCTCGCCCAGCCGCCAGTGAAAAAAAGATTTTGCAGCATGAAAGATTCACCAAAAGTCTGAAGTGCTATATGCCCCTCTCTTCCCTGCGTCACTATTCATTTGGCTACTGCGAGTGACGCTTCCAAGAATGTTTCATGTTTCATTCAGCGAATGTGCTTGTGGATTGTTCACCCTTGTAACGTTTCCCTCGTCCTTCCCTCCTTCCCCTCCCTCTCCCCACCTCCTACTCCTCTCCCTACTGCTTCCCACCCACCCAACCTCATCCCCTTCTCAAACCACCCCCCCTCCCCCCCCCCCCCCCCGATTTCACCTGGGATTGCTGTTGATTCCCCGCCGTCAGATCAGCGTGGGTGCATCTGGAGCGTTGTTTGGGCTGGTAGGTGCGTGCCTATCAGAACTCCTGATGAACTGGAAGCTCTACGACAACAGGGTACGTGGGTGCTTGCTTGAGTTGATGAGGGTGTCTTTTCATTCTCTTTCCAGCTCCTTTTCTCCAGTCCATCTTTCCCAAACCCCTTTCCACCTCATTTCCACTCCTCGTTTCAACCCCTGTGTCTCTGCGCAATCCAACCCTCTCCTCCCCCCCAGGGTCCCTCCTCCTTGGCCTCCCGTGCAGTTTTCAGCCCTGATGACTCTTCTCATCCTCATAGCCATCAATCTCACCATCGGCCTCATGCCCTACATTGACAACTCCTGCTTCTCCTCCCTCCCCACTTTCCCCCGCCCCCCCGGCCATCCCTCCCCACTTGGGCTCCCTACCAGTTCTCAGCCCTCATGACGCTCATCATCCTCCTCATAGCAATCAACCTTGCCATCAACCTTACATCGATAACTCCTGGTTCTCCCTCTGCCCCCCTTCTCTCCTCCCTCTGCCCCCCTTCTCTCCTCCCTCTGCCCCCCTTCTCTCCTCCCTCTGCCCCCCTTCTCTCCTCCCTCTGCCCCCCTTCTCTCCTCCCTCTGCCCCCCTTCTCTCCTCCCTCTGCCCCCCTTCTCTCCTCCCTCTGTCCCCATACCCTCCCATGCAGTTCTCAGTCCTGATGACGCTAATCATCCTCATAGCCATCAATCTCGCCATCGGCCTCATGCCTTACATCGGCATCTTCGCCCACATAGGCGGCTGCATCGCCGGCTCCTTCCTCGGATTCGCTCTGCTGCTCAAACCCCAACGGATTTTCTCCGGGATACTCTTTATGGCTCTGTAAGTAGTGCATTTCCAGGCTCACCACTCCACCTGCCAGGTTTACACTCGGGTTTGCTCTGCTGCTCAAGCCACAGCTGGGCTTCATTGACCTCCGAGATAGCTCTGGCGTGGCGACGGCAACAGCGATCAAGGTGTCTCTCGGGGATAATCTTCATGGCTAAGAGGCTCTCCACCTGCCAGATCTACACGCGGGTTCTCTCTCGCATAATCTTCATGGCTAAGAAGCACTCCACCTGCCAGGTCTACACGCGGGTTCTCTCTGGGATAATCTTCATGGCTAAGAAGCACTCCACCTGCCAGATCTACACGCGGGTTCTCTCTCGCATAATCTTTCATGGCTCTGTAAGTGCACTGCGCTGCACCACTGCCCTTCCTGCATGGCGGTTCTTTTCCACTAAGGGAAGCATGACTTCTGGCACTCATTCCCCCTTCTTGCTGCATCCTCTCCTTCTCACCCCTCATCAGCACAGGCAGCAAGGTAGTGCTCGCCACCATGGGCAATATGGCTCTTGATGCACGGCACATTCCGCTTTCCCACTACTGCCTCCTCTCCCTCTCCCTCCCCCATCAGCTGCTGACTCACCCATGTCTGCTGCCTCCTCTCCTTCCCAACCCCAACCAGCTTCTCGCTCTGCATGGCGGTGCTATTCACCAAGGGCAACGTGCCTGCTGACCCTCCCATGCCAGCTGCTTCTCCTCCTGCTCCCCTGCTCTTCTTTTCCTTCCCACTCCCCCAACCAGCTTCTCACTCCGCATGGCAGTGCTCTTCACCAAGGGCAACGTGGCACTCAGCACTCATTTCCTCTTTTGCTTCTGCCTCTCCTTCCCACTCCCTCCACCAGCTTCTCGCTCTGCATGGCGGTGCTATTCACCAAGGGCAACGTGGCACTCAGCACTCATTTCCTCTTTCGCTGCTTCCTCTCCTTCCCACTCCCTCCACCAGCTTCTCGCTCTGCATGGCGGTGCTATTGACCAAGGGCAACGTGGCATCAGACTGCACGTGGTGTCGCTACTTGTCGTGTGTGCCCACGCCCTGGTGGACCTGCGACCCCAATGCCCCAGGCACACAGGGCCGAGGGGGGCCTGTTTGCCGGGTCAGCTTCCAGTTTTATCCTTGCCTCGCATTGCTCCCATTGCATTCCTCTTACTGCTTGCAAGTTTGTGTTTTGATTTTACTGGCGTGCCCCGAATTATTTTCGCTAATGGTGTTTTTCCGCTTGTGCAGGTCCGGTCATATCAAAATGGCACTGGTGTGCTGGTGTGTACTAATCAGACAATGCTTGCCGTACCAAATATCACATCAATGGCAAATTATGACCTTCGGGTGCTCTGCACACAAGCGTGTAGCGGCTGAGGCCCTGGTAAAAGGCCGCCCTTCTGGAGTGTTCTCCGATTTAATTATGTTAATATTATGCTTATTGGTTTTGTTGAGCATTTGTAATTTTTGTCTCTTTGTAAGGAATTTTCTCGGCATTCCTTACGGAGTCCGACTTCATCGCGTATAGCAACAGCCGTTGTTCGCCCGTTACTGCTAACGGGACTTCGCCAACTTCGCGCGCACTGTTTTGCCAAACCTCGCACTGCTGGCCTGGCCGTGTCGGCCTACGCTTCTTGACTAGCCCGAGCCTCGCTGCCAGCATAGCACTAGCTAGCTCGCACGCAGCGCGTTACCGTTTGCATGTTTCGCGTATAAATGTTCGCTCATGACTTCGCTCACATCTTTGTACTCGTTTTGACACCCTAGTGCAATTCTCGCTACTTCGATTCATTGCACCCGTAACACTTGGTATTCAGAGCCCCTTTGTTTTGGACTGCGCATCTCCGCACCCCATGAAATCAACTTTTGATTTTTCACTCGAGTGGACTCACGTACCTTAGCACCTAGGAGTCGCTGTCCTCGCGTTCTCTCGTAAATGTGTGCAGCCACAACTGCGCCTAGACTAAGACGAGCCGACGCCTTTCGAAATGGCTGAACATATTGACGTCACGATTCGCACGCAGGAGCACTTGAACGATCTGCTGCGACGAATCCGCGAAAGCGCCGAGGAAATCGCGACGCTGACGGCAGAACGCTCGTCCCTGCAAAACGACCTCACACGAGCACAATCCCAAGCACCTGGCACTCCGATTCAGCCCGCACAACAGACATCGTAGCACGGAAGTGTGGGGCAACCCGCGAGCGCCGCAAGTGATGGCGTCGTCCGCCATGACGGAGACGACGACCACGGCACGACACACCTCGACGCGACGAATGCGGCCAGGACTCAGCCTCAAGTCACGATTTCAATGCCGGCCGGCGGATCAACTCTTCCGTCGCCGATGCCGCTAAAGCCGCAGCGTCCGCCATGCTTTGACCCAAGTCAGCGGGGTGGTCCTACCGTTCAGGCGTGGCTCTTCACGTTGAACGTTTTCTTCGACGCGAACTACGTCTCGGAGGATGCGGCGAAGATTCGTTACGCCGTGTCGTTGCTGCGAGGACCCACCATGGACTTGTGGCGCATCATCGTCACGAAGCCGGCGGACTACGCGACTCTACCGACAAGGGAAGGACGAACCGGACCCTGGGCGCCGTCGTATTTGGTGGAGGTGCCCCAGTATCGCACGTGGGACGCGAGGTGCGCAGGTCTGCGCGCTCGTTTCGAGCCAATCGCGGCTTCGATCGCGGCGCGATAGAAGCTCCGCACTTGGCGCCAACTCGGTTCCGTCCAAGACTACACGAGCGGATTTCTGGCGCTATGCGAGCAGGTCGGATTGTCAAACTTATATGCTATAGTCTGTGTAGGCTGTAGTGGGGTAGACCATATCGGGTACACATTTCTAGGGTTGCATATTTGTACCACCTTCATTCCTTAGTGCACTCATTTCTCGCTTCTGTTTTCTCATGGTATCGAGCAGGTTCCCTCGTGGGAACTGTGCCTAGGGCCCACCAAATCGATATTTTTTTCCCTGCCTGGAGCGCGCTCAGCCTGAGTCGCGCTCCCCTCTCTGACTTCGTCGAGCCGCCCTAGCGGCCACGTCGAGCCGCCTTAGCGGCCCCTTGATTTGTCGCCCCTGCGACCCCGTCGCCCTACCTGCGCCTCGGCCCCGTCGCCCTACCTGCGCCTCGGCCCCGTCGCCCTATCTGCGCCCCGGCCCCGTCACCCTACCTGCGCCCCGGCCCCGTCGCCCTACCTGCGACCCCGGCCCCGTCGCCTCAACTGCGACCCTGGCCCCGCCGCCATACCTGCGGCCCCGGCCCTAGCCCCGTCGCCCTACTTGCGCCCCGGCCCCGGCCCCGTCGCCCTACGTACGACCCCGGCCCCGTCGCCCTACTTGCGACCCCGGCACCGTCGCCCCACCTCTGACCCCGGCCCCGTCGCCCTACCTGCGCCCCGTACCGGCCCCGTCGCCCTACCTTTGACCGGGCCCCGTCGCCCTACCTACCAGTGGCCCCGCCGCCCTACCAGCGGCCCCGCCGCCCTACCTGCGGCCCCGCCACCCTACCTGCGGCCCCGCCGCCCTACCTGCGGCACCGCCGCCTTGCCTGCGGCCCCGCCGCCCTACCTGCAGCCCCGCCGCCCTACCTGCGGCCCTGCCGCCTTACCTGCAGCCCCACCACCCTACTACCGACCCCGCCACCCTACCAGCGGCCCTACCGCCCTACGCAGCCGAGCCGCCCGCACCGCTCGAGTCGCCCGTTCAGCCCGAGCCGCCCGAGCCGCCCGTTCCGCCCGAGCCGCCCGAACCGCCCGGCCCGCCTGAGCCGCACGAGCCGCACGAGCCGCCTGAGCAGCTGAGGAGCCGAGCCGCGGATGCCGCAGAGCCGCAGTTGCTTCCGAGCTGCCCGAGTCGCCCGTGCCGCCGTGTTGCCGAGCTGCTGTGCTGCCGAGCTGCCCGAACCGCCCTGTCTGGTGAGAGCAGCGCCTCTGTCACTGCACTACAGTTACCGCTGCTAGTTTACTGCTATCATGGCTACCCCCAGTGTTCTCGCTTTTGACGCTGAGGGTCGGGCCATTGACTTTGACGTCTGGGTAGACGACCTGCAGCTTTTCCTACAGTGCGATAGGGCAAACGGTCTCTCTCTCTTTGACCTCACCTCTGTTCCTCCCTTGCCCATGCTGCCGATGCCGACGCCACTGTTCGCTCACAGTGGGCCACTCGCGATGCTGCTGCACGTCTTGCTGTGCGTCGCCACCTGCCTACCACTCAGCGCGCATACTTTAGTCAGTACAAGAGTGCTCAGACCTTGTACGACGCTGTAGTTGCGCGCTACTCTTCCCCTGCCACTGCTGCACTGAGCCGCCTCATGCTACCGTACCTCTTCCCTGACCTTGCTGCCTTTCCCACAGTCGCTGACCTCATTACGCACCTCCGCACTAGTGACACTCGCTACCGCTCTGCGCTTCCTGCTGAGTTCTGCGCCAAGAACCCCCCCCCCATGTACATCACTCTCTATAACATAGTCACCCGTCTCTCTGACTCCCTTCGTGTAGTCAGAGACCACTTCCTCTCAGTCTGTCCCACCACTCTCACTGTTGACCTCCTCGAGAAGGCCCTCCTAGCAGCCGAAAAGAGCATAGTCGTTGTTGGAGCCTCTCGTGGTGACCCTCGTACCCCCATCTTTGAGGGGTGCTCCCCTTCCCCCCTTTTGCCCTCTGTTGCCTCTTCTGCTGCGGCCGACCTCGTTGGTCTTGAGTCGGTCGGTGCGGCGTCTGCCCGTAGCGGGAGACGCCGCTCTAGCAAGGGCAAGGGGGGCAAGGGCGCGGGAGGAGCTAGCGGGGGTGGTTGAGGCGGTGGTGGAGGCGGCGGAGGGGGTGGGGGTGGCGGTGGGAGTGGTGGCGGGGGTGGGGGTGTCGGTGGCGGCAGTGGAGGCGGAGGCGGCGGCGGCGGTGGGGGTGGGAGCGGAGGTGGCGGTGGTGGCGGAGGTGGAGGAGGCGGTGGTGGAGGAGGTGGAGCTGGTCGGGGTGGCGCTATGCAGCGGAGCGGCTCCGGTGGTGGTCAGCGCCAGCAGCAGCAGCAGCAGAGTTCTCAGGACATTCCCCCACCTCAGCAGCTCCGTGAGTGGTACGCTGCACGTCAGCGTGGTGAGGGTTTTGGTCCGTGCACCTACGTCCTACGCACCGGCGACCGTGCGGGTGAGCAGTGTGGAGGTGCACACCCCACCCAGCGCTGCCTTGGCCGCTTGACGGACGCTTGGCGTCACCAGTTCCCGGAGGCCACTGAGATCCCCCGCTGTGGTGAGCTGTCTAGGGCGGGTGTAGCTATCTTTGATCTTGACTTTGATGCTATTCTTGCTACCATGTATGCTGTGACTATTTGTGATGAGGGTGACAGTTACCAGTGTTTCCTGCCCGACCCGGGCATTGAGACTGCTGTTCTAGGTACTGGTGAGGCTGCTGCTCTAGATGCCTGTGAGGCTGCTGCTCTAGGTGCCGGTGCGTCTGCGTCCTCAGGTGCTGGTGAGTCTGCGCTCTCAGGTACCGCGTCGGCTTCGGCCTCCCTCACCTTCACACTTGACTCAGGAGCTTCTTGCTCCTTCTTTCGAGACCGCACCACACTCACGCCACTTGGTCGGCCGGTTGCAGTTTCCCTGGCAGACCCCTCTAGGGGCCCTGTCCTTTCTCACTTCTCCACTGTCCTCCCGTGTCCGGCTGCCCCCTCTGGCACCTTGTCTGGTCTTTACCTCCCCTCGTT